GAGTCTCATGAAGTGTCTAGGAGGGATACTATGAATACAATAGGTAATATATAAGGATGAATCTGGAACCTGTGGTAAAGGACCTTTTACATGGGAATTGAAAGTTATGCATGTACTACCACATTACCTTCATTCAAGTGAAACAGATGTCAGATGGTAAAAAAAAAAAAGGCTGTCTGATGAACTTAGCTGTATCAGGTACTGTAGGATTTCACATTTCTTTGACCTTAAAGTTAATAATCTGACCATATGGCCAATGATGTGACAACATTTACATTGGGTTTATCAATTAATTGAGGATCATGACAAGGATCAGTGACACACACAAGTTTCAGTATGACCAGGTGACATTGTAGTGCCCTGCAAAGTAGCAGTTTTGCAGAGTATTATGAAGTTTACTGGACCTCTTTATCTGCATGCAGATCCATATCAAGTGGGTAATAAAAGATTTAAATTATCATTTCTCAACTATTAATGATAATCCAAATTTTACTTTATACCAAAAGTACTTCACATACACAACACGTGCGCATGCACACACACACACACACACAAACACACACACACACACACACACACACACACGGTTATATGTATATATGCATATAAATAATCTTTCATACAATTATATCATATTCATAAAAATCATTCAGTTATTAATAGAGCTTCATATCAAAGATATAGTTGTAGCAGTGGGAATATAACTACTTGCTCAGGAGATGAATAAATTGCTTCTGAAAGCACTGAGCACATTGCACTGTTACTAAAACATAAGCTTGGTACATTGTAAACATCCATACTGAGATCAGTCTTGTTGGCGGCCTATCACATAAAAGGCATGAAAGAGATATGGGTGACAGGATGCATCTGATCTGTGTGTTTACTTGACCAAGGAATGTGAAAGTCAGTAAATTATAAAGGCGAGTTCGAATTTGAAATGTGAAGCCAATAGGAAATGCATATTTGCATTTTTTAGCAATTTGATATGAAGATTACTTAAAATGTGCAAGAGGCTTTTGGTTTAGATTAAATCTGGTTTCTTCATCTGTGAAAAAGGTTTTTGTCGTGTGCAAATTCAGGTAGATATTAATATTTCACAACCATTGACTGTGAACCAAACGTTTTTTAGACTTATTCATTTTCTTTTCTCCAGCAGTGCTAAATACTTTTTTCAAGGAGTGGGTATTACTATTCAATGATGTCCCAAACATTGTGGTTGACCACATGATATTTGCTATTCAACAAAAGGTGTAAGAAGGCATGTCATTTTCATTTGTTCAAGAATATCACAGAGATACATAAATAATTTTCCTCTCATCATTTTAAAAACACATATCTTATCAGAATTTCTTTAGAGAAGTTTTGATATATCAATTTTCTTAGTATGAGACAAGGTAAATAATTAATTAGAATACAGGTGAAGTCATTGTGTCAAAAACACCTTCACTGAGTGTTGCATGCATGTTTAATGTTTATAAAATATTCAAGGTGGAGAGTTAATTTGTAGTTGCCAGTGTCAAAGAAATCTGTGTAAGTAATGCATGAGGAATGTCCAATGGCTATTGATTGAAGTGTTGTGGTCTTGTTATCTTCAAGTTTTCCAGTTAGTTGCATATTATGTGGAGATGTTGGTGCATAAGTATTTATGATTATATATACAAACAACAGGTATGATTTGTATTTGTTTATTATATGTAGTTTCGTCACTTAATATTGAAAGGTTTACAGGTGCCTTGTTTGTTGATGTATTACAGAAAATGATGTAAGATCTTTCTTTTCCCACTTCTTCAATGATTGTTCAGAGTCTTAACATTTTGCTGCTATATAGGCATATTGTGGATCAGAAAATGGCAGATTTTATCAAGTTTGAATTTGCCCCTTGGACATTCCTCTTGAGCTTAGCGGCAGTATAACCTTTTGTATTTGCAGTGGGATTCTGTTTGGCCTGACATTCTGAGCACAGTTACAATCACTGATTTAACTGTAAACCCCCCGTGTTCAGGGGCCACACAATTGTAGTCAAATACTGCTATAAAACAAGTACTGGCTTTGGAGCTGCATTATTATTTGCCCTAGAAATCAAGCCATTGTCCCTGGGAGTAAGTTACATTTTACTGAAGTGTGGCTTGATTGTGTGTTATGTGAGCACAGTGCTTGAGGGTGAGTCACGCTTATAGCCATCTTATTTAAGGCGATAAATTATCTTTTAAAAATGGGTCACAATTTACTACTTGGTTAAGGAAGAGTGGATTATATTCACACAGTCACAACACAAGACAGACATATGGTATGCAGCAGGTAGAACAGGTACGTATGTGGTTGGAAAAACATTAGTGGTATTGTTGTTATTTTTGCATGTCATGAACTGCTTGACTGTGAACAATGTTAGAGCAATAGAGGGGATAAACGTGTGCAGTATTAGTGTAAAAATATAAATGAACTCTGGAATAGTGTGAAAATATAAGTGAACTCTGTTCATAGATTGTCAACCACATCAAAGGGTTGGAAAGGAGTTACTATTTGTTGTGTATTGGTGGTAGCAGTGGCAAGCTTCTTTGATTGACTCATAGGTGATTTGCAACTGTGACAAATACCAGAAAAGCAAATTTATACAAGTGTGGATTTCTAATCTGACAGGACAGAGGCATAAAAAAGTTGTAGGATATATGGGTGTGTTTTGTGTGAATGTGTGTAATTGCAGATGTGTGTAATAAAAGAAATGGGGGTAGCAGAGGAAACGAGAGAAAAGTTAAGTAGGATTTACAGCATATACTTGTATATTTTAATATATACATGGAACTACCTCTACAACAACACAGTGTGAAGTGTCTAACATTTCACATAGGAGAGTGGGATTTCATGTGAATAAGTTGTCAGGCTTGAGTGGAACTAATAAAAGCCAAGTTTCACCTGCTGACAGGTGAGAGTAAAATGAAGAGACAACATAATAGTGGGGGCTGCCGGCGCAGGCAGCAGTGTAAGCCATCTATGCATAAGGTACCTGCATACTTAAGTCTTAACTGTAAAACCTGGCTGATGTAGTCGGTTTTCTAACTGTCATGAAAACCTTCCAATCTGTGGTAGTATTCCAGTTACGTTGTTTCATTTTAAGTTGGGGTAACATACATGTATATTGGCACACCCCCATCTCTTATGTTATCTTTTTTGTCTTGGAGGCGGGAGGAGATGGAGGTCTCGTGATTTTGATGTCCGTAGATAAAGGACAGGGTGCGTTCCAATATTTTTTTCATTCAAGAAAGGTCTTATAAACTTTGAAGTTAGATAAACGAGAATTAAGATTTGGCCGCTATGTGACAATCTGAGTGTCACACAAATATAAGAAGATAGACTCAGATAATGCACAATATAAAGAGACTCAAAATACAAATTGTTTCAGTTTTGGTTAATATTTGTCAGGTAGATTCCATTCTGTCATATTGAGGGATTGTTGGACTTTGTCCTTACCTTCTCTACCTTTTTTAATGAAAATAGCACATAAACCATTTGCACTTCCCTCTGGCACCTATGTTTGCCATTGTCTTGGCTGGTGTCCCCTTTCTGACTTCAGCAACGAACTAACACACAGGAAGGGATTTACCAGTTCAGTTATAGCTAAAGGGGAGAAAACAGAGAGATGCCAAAAACATAGGTGTCACTCACTTAATCCTGGAATAGAATGTTCTAATTGAGATGTAATTAGCCTTTCTCTGACTTTGTGAAAGGGCTATAGGTGTATTGCCATTATATTGCTTAGGGGTAATTACATAGAGTGAGATACTTGTGATGAGAAAGGAAGGAAATTGACTGAGCGTGGGCTGAGTGATGGATGTTGACTTGAATGCAGTGTCACTTGTAAGTTCAGTCTAGACAGCCGTGGAGTGAAGACGGGGCACCATGGTACAGTGGCTTACACAGGGTAGGAAACCAGGTAGTTTATGTCAAACTAGTGAAGTGAATGACAGTATTTTTCGTTGGTGTCGTTTTCACTCTAGCTGTAATGATAGGCATGTCTTTTTAGGACTATTTTGGAATGAAACATAAGAGGTAAAGGTTCTATCAAGCTGATTCTATATAATTTGATGTAGCATTCAGTTAACAGATATTAAGACATTAATAGAGGTAAATGACAGAGTTATCACTCCATATGTGATAACATTGTGTAATTTTTGATGACACCCATACCAGAGTAATGCCACTGTCTAATCAAGCCTTGGAACTGTATTCCAAGCAGATGGCATTCCTCATGTAATATCACACAAGGTTTTATTGGTGCAGACTGTGTGTTGGCTGTGTGTGACCTACTTAGGCACATTCAAATTTTGATTTATTGACAAAGCATTAGCTATTGCATGCTGCTTACTGATTAGAAGTAGGCTTCACCTTTAAAAATTGACAATGAAATGAAAAGTTTGCATTCCTTTCACTCTCTATACTGATAACGCCACCTACACTGTTTATCATCTTGTCACTGGTATCTACATGATAACACAGTACTTTTTTGTGTAATATTTTATGCTAGGATTTTTGATTGATATTATGTTCCAGAAAATCAATCTTAACTGTCAATATTCAAAATTTAAAAATCAGTCTCTTATTTTTTGCATCAACATTATGAACAGTAAGATTTGGAAGATATTTACTTTTTTTCTAGCCCAACTTTGGTATTAATTACAATTCTGTTTTGTATATGTTTGAAATTATTCCATATATGATAATTGTTATGTACTTTTGCTGCGGTGTATCAATAAAATGATTAAATTGTGTTTATACTTCTTCTGAAGATGGCCTTTTCTTGATAAGATATATACAGTATTTTGGTCGTCAAATTATTCTGCATATTATTTGTTTTTGTTTGAATTTTCTATCCACCATGCCACACCCTTTTTTCCAAGCAAATCTGCAAACTGACAGAAGAGAGGAGATAACAGGAAATAGCGCATGTTGTATGACACGTTAATCGTAAATTGTCATCTGAGTGATGTATTATCGCACCATTCCAGAGCCCCAGGTGATGGCCACAGCTGCCCCTCCTCCGCCTCCCCTGGTGTCACTTGGTGACAGGCTCCGTCTGGCAGCAAGTAGGGGAGAGTTGGAGACAGTACAGGAGCTGCTGCAACTGGGAGCATCTCTGGAACCTGACAGGGTAAGTGATGGTGCCACACACTGGGAATAACACTCTCCATTTACTTTCAAAATATACAGAATCCCTTATATTGAAAGATCCTGACAGGGTTTACTAGGGATAATCCAACACCTTAATGGTAACTTTGCGATCGCCTTTCAAAATAAACCAAATTACCAATGTTGAATACTCCTTTGCAGTGAAATAATTCTGTGTCTGATAAGACTTGATCTCTCACTTTGAGTAATTTTCTTGCTCTTGGAATGTTTTACTTTTCTTATCCAACATGTCATCCAACATCAAGTATGTTTTCAACTTCCCAAATTGAATTTAATCATCAACTCACACTGATTTTGAAAATAATTTAAATCCAGTTACAAATACATATTCATAATATCTGACTTCAGTGTACCTGGATTTGGTCACTGTTTACTCAACAAAACAGTATTGCTTAATACCAGTTTTAATCACTATTGCTTAGCTTCAAGATAAGCTAGAATGTTTGAGAAAGCTCTTGTTTGTATTGGATTTGGATTGTATTCTAACATTTGAGGACATAAAAATGACAAAGTATCATTTCTACGTGGAAATTCTTCTCTGGCATTACAAGAAAAGGTTGATCTATTGGTCCCAGAAGACAACCCAAAATAAGACCTATAAAAATTAAGAAACTATTGGCTTGATATGGTAAAAAAAGGTTTATCATAGTCTAGTTCACTTGTCTGTACTGTAGTGAAAGAGATCAACAACAAGAAAATTGGTATGATAAAAAAGAAGAAGAGATCTCATGGGCTCATTTATTCGGCTAAGGACAGCAGAAAATGACATCCAGAATTTTGTATCCCTTTTTCTAGATTGTTCACTTGGTGGGTAACCCAACTGAAAAAGTTAATTTTCTGTATGAGCAGATACAGTGAAGAGTTGATAGGAAGGGTGGGATTACAGATTCTGCTTGAACTGTTTGCTCTTATAAGCAAAGAAAAGGTACATGGGCAATGACATGAAAAGAGCTGTCTATTAGAGTAAACCACATTTTTTCGAAGGAGTGTAAAACTTGGTTGTATTGAACTGAATCCCTTTGCGATGACAAATAAAATGTATAGTTATTTTAATATGGTATTTTATAAAAAATGTTCCCAATGCAGATATGAACTACTATGGGTATTTATAGTAAAGAGGGATAAAGAACTTTACCAGTGCTATGTGTCATTTTACCTTGGATTTTAAAGTTGACTTTTTCCTGTAATAGCAGCTGTTAAATAACCTAACTTGTCTATGTGTTTTTTAAACAATTACTGCAATAGTATGCCTATTTATCATATTACATGACGATGTCAAAAAGTACCCAATATCCAAAATCTTGAGACTCTAGTTACCAGGAAGCCATAATGATTTTTTTAAAGGGGGTCTGATAGAATTTTAGAAAAGGGAACACTGATGTAGGAGAAAAGTACTAACAGTAGACATGCAGATCCTGGCTTTGACCTTTTGATGTGTAATCTGGGTTGAGTATTGGGCAGGGATTAAAGTTGCTTATAGTAAGGCTAGAGCACACGAAGGCAAACTTCTTGATTTCATGTTCTGTATTGTTACGCCAGTAACTCTTGACTAGAATGGCACCCCTTTTAATTCTCTCCTAAATCTCAAGTGTGCTATCACACAAAACCGCAATTCACTCAAAGAAAACATTGCCAGTAAAGATACAAGTATACTGGGTTACTTTTACCTTTGATATTTAGGATTACGTTTCAGACTTGTCATACAAGCCATGTTGACCTGTGATCTTTTGGGTAAAAGTAAGGAAGGGTTCCTGATATCCTTTTTTCCCTCTGACATTATTATGTTACTGGTAGACCTTAGTCAAGATTGATAAATGGTACAGTAGTCCGTACCAGTATGAAACTTCAAATTTGGTATATTTTTAAATAGACTTTCTTTAAATATATCTCATGTGAAGTAATAGTTGATGGATTTAAAACTGCCACTTGTATTATCATTCCTTTCCAAGTTGAAATATATAAACCTACTGTTATGACTTTATGCAAAAATGGTAATAGAAAACAAGACCACCAGTATACTCAAGTGATTTTTATGTAGTTACCTAATTTAATCACACCATGCATTTTGAATGACTCACTTACATTCCTCAGTAGTTCAAAATAGCTACATGATAATAGTTACAATATTGCAGAAAGTAAAGTAGTAATGATTATTGAACAAATATATATGTGCACTTTGTTAAATTTCGTCAAATGATCTGTACAGGGCAATATGCAGCTCTCTCCAGTTTTCTTGTTAGTATGGGCAGTGATACAAAAATGTTAGCAGTAAAGGCATTTTTATAAAGCTTTTCACTGTGTATTAAAAGTGCATATACTTTTTTTATATATATAGGATGGCCGCACAGTTCTCCACTTAGCAGCACAAAATGGTCAGGCTGAGGTGACAAAGGTTCTGATCAATGCCGGATGTGACATCAATGCAGTTGACAGTGTAAGTAGCTAAGCTTGAACTAACTCAGACTTTCTGCCTAACTAGCATACAGGTTGCATGCAAGTTAGGCAGTAAGTAAAGTATGGTGGCCTACAAGGACGTGCAGGTATTAGTTTAGCACTGTGCTGCCATCTGGTGTTAAAAGTGATTTGCTCAATATGAGGGCCTGGTAATTTCCCTAGAGAGATATAGGATATCCATCGATCATGCAGACTGTCACAATATGCTGGACACATATTATTGCTATAGAAATACAGGTATGATTATATGTGCACTTGGGTTCCAGAAGGGGTGGCAGGAAGGAAAGTTCTTGTTTTAATTTTTCCATCCTTTGTAGATCAAAGAGTAGATTCTTTGGGAAGGAAAACCTATTTCCCAAAATGATATATCAGGGGCTTTAGCTGTCAGTGACTGTAACAAATTTGGTATAGTTTACAGACAGCACTGATTTTTAAAAAATGACTGACTAAACAGGTTTTCATATCAGATGGCTGATTTTCATGAAAGGAAATCATGAAACAAGGCAATCAAAATAGTTAGATAAACTTAACAGGGGGAAGTATGTGGTCATTACATTTATGCTGTCTGGAATCCCTTCTTGATTTAGATATTTACCAGGTTAAAACTCCACTTTGGTTTCTACAGGAAGTGGGGATAATAAATAGTGAAATGCCATGAGAGAAAATGTAGTTTTCCAGATGCTTAACATCTCACTTGTTCTAATGAATGCAGCTATTCATCCACACTTGAACTGAAAAGGGTTGTTAGTGCCCAGGTAATATGTTTGCTTGATCTAAGTCTCATTTTTCAGAAGCAGTTTGCAGCTTAAGTGCAAGCTGTTAGAGTAATATATGTATGTATAGAGTAGGGGAGACTTTAAGCACCTAACATTAAGTGCAGGAAAAAAAACACAACACAGGCAATTTTCTCAGTCTGACCTATCGCAGGATCATTTTCACACTGATAGCTGTAATGAAAGCCAACCAGGCTGAAATTGCCTTATCGTCTCTTCTGAGAGTGAACAGTATTGATTTGAAAAACACTTAGTTTCTGCTTTTACAGTTTCATTATGGCTCTTTGCATCCTTGGGGGAAATTTTTTGAACCCTTGAAGATGAAGATTTGATTTCCTTTAGAACCTTTAATAAGGTTTAATATGAGAAGTATGTTTAGTTGCTATTTTGCCACATTTTTCTCGATGGCCTAGCTTGAAACAATTAAGTTAATTCAAATTCTTTTCAGGGAGCGCTTTGCTCATTTTTGGTGGTTAGAGAATGAGGCATAAAAGAATAATATGATAGATGTTGTTCCTTTTTTTAATGTTAACCTTAGGTGTGATTGATTTATGGGAACTGGTATGTCTGGAAGGAGGAAAGGAAGGAAGGTTACATCAGAGGAAAAAACATCACTGAGCTACCTTTCATTATAATTGAAGGCTGAGTGATTAGAGGGCTGATCCCTATGATTACTGAAGGGAGAACAGCAGTTGTGATGGCTATCTGTTACAGGTGGAGTGGTCTCCTGGGTAATTACCTGTACAGGTGGGGTGGGCTTTACCAGCGGGGAGAAAAGTAGTTCCTTTTAGCAGTGAACTTGGGAGGGGGGAAAGGCTAGTTTATACACCTAACCAAATCATTGGTATTTTAAAATAGATGAATATATTTTGTCAAATTGAAAAGCCCTGTTTCCACACCTTTGTATTATTTTGTAGGTGTGTATTTAAAATCATTGGTGTTTTATACCCGGAACCCTTTTGGCTAGAAGCTTCTAAATAAATCAAACTGTCTGAAATAGGTAGCATCTGTGTGTGAGACAGAATTGTGTGTAAGTTGAGACATTTGTCTTAACCTGTACAGAAGAAAATTGACCTCAATGAAGCATGCAATATTCCTGGTTCATATATTTTTAAGTGTTAATTTTTAACTTCTTATTAGAATAAATATGAATGATGATATCTATAATGGTAAAATTTTAAGAATTCAGACATGAAAATTATTCATGACTCAGAAGAAGTTTTTGATGATTTATTTAATAGGATGGTTATATTACCGTAATTGTTATAAATTCATAGAGATAAATTTATATTAAAGACCTTGGAATATATTGCATGAACAATGATATTTATATAGTGTCCTGATTTTTGTGGAAAATCTCATGTCTAAATTTCTTTGTTTTGTGATTCATTACCTTGCGGTATAGTAGCTGGTTTGTATATATTTAGTACACATGAAGATGATGATCATCAGTCTGAAACATTTCAACAAGGATATTTTTATATTTAGTCAAGACAAAGAGTGATTAACCTAGATACTCTGTTACTTATATCAGTTTATCACTCAGGTAAATTATGGGGTACAGTTACACACCTCAAACCAACATAGGGGGAAAGAGAAAAAAACAATTCTTGACTTAGTCGTTTTGCTGAATAATGCCATTGTCAAAGGGATAAAAGATAATTGTCAGCCAACTAGAAGTTGACACTGGGTATTGTTGTCAGATAAATTTGGATATCTCAATTTACATTAGATGTTTTAGTGCTTATGTATATTTGTATGTGTTAGTGAATGTAGTGCGAGACACTAAAAAATAAGGNTAGTGCGAGATACTAAAAAATAAGGAAGGTGGCATTAAATTTATATTCAACTTTATATTTGTTGACAAAATAAAATTCCATATTTAGAATTAAAATAAAAATAACATTAGAGTGCAAGAGTACACCTGAAATTATGTGAAGATGGGCTTTGTGTGTGATTGACAGGTAAACGCTTGAAGACCCTCCCACTTGAGGGACTACTTTATTAATGAGCTTGTATAGCAGCACTATCATATTTAAACTGCTTTAACCCTGATAGTTTGCCTCCAGCTAGGATATGTTGTGAAAAACCACATAACTAATCATGATAAGATAATATGTTTGTGTTGATAACTTTTTAGTTAGCCTCGACCCTTGAGCACAAAGATTTGAAATTGAAATAGTATTAGAATTCAATACTTTCAATATTTTATTTTCAGAAAATAGTATAGATATATGTAGATAATTATCTGTAGTGTTTACAGGGTGCTACCAAATTGAATATCTGATCAGTTGCTGCATTTTACATTACGAGTAAGATAATTGTATCAAATGATCATAAATCTTATTAGAGTACTGGCTCTCACTCTTCCTTGGGTGGAACGGATAGCTAACAGTAATGAGTCAAACAATGCAATCTGTAGTGAATCCCATTTTGATCCTTACCAGAGAAGTGTTGACATACAGCAGGATTAATTTCTTGACATTTGTCAAAAGCAGGTCAAGCCTTAATCCCAAGTCATTTGATTAGTGGTATTTCTCTATTTAATGTCATCCGAAACAACTGTAGCATGTGCATACAAGAATCCCACTTTTTGTTGAATTGGTCTCATTAGCAGTTGTGATTTATGACATTTAGAGGCACTAAACCTCCATCAAACCTCTGCATGACTTCGGTTAATTGGAAATTTTTGTCACCATGGCGCCATGCTTCTAAAAATGTGCAAATTACAACAGTGATAAAATTTTTACTCATGTGTGGAAGCGTGGAATTGTGTACGAATTCCTTCAAGAACTAGGGTTGTGTGTGTACTCAATGCCTTAGATAAGCAAATTGGTTATCTCCAAGCACAAGTGATGTATTGAATGCCTGTCAACCTTTTTGAGTGGGCCCTTTGGTTAACAGCTTGTACTTGAATTAATGGCTTGATTAATGCATGCATTCTTTCAGTCTGACGTTCTATAAACAGCTTTACACCAAAATGCTGCCATTCATAGATTTGTTGAATAAATACAAAGCTCCTAATGTGAGTATTATGTGGAAATATCATTTCATTGTGAAATATATGGAAATATGCAAATTTTGCAATCAAAAGGTAATTTGTCATCATAGGGGAGAAGTGATTTCAAGCTATAATGAGTGAATGAATAATTTTCTTTTTCTTAAGAATGTAATTAACATGAACATTTAGGATTAATGCTAGGGTTTGCTTTGTTTAAGAATTTGTTATGACATTAGAATAGTTTTTCACTGTCTGTTATACAATTGTTTCTTAACATTTTAAACATCCTATAAATATCATGCCATGCAAAAAACATAATCATGACAGGATGAAATATATGGGAAATCCCATCCTTGAGACAAAAAATTGTTCAGCTACAAAAAATTAGGTTATAGGTTGGTAATTGTTGTATAGATAGTTTGTAGCCCTTATTAAAATATTGGCCAATTAAAATAGATTTTAAGATGTAAAGCATATCAGTAGTATGATCAGTAGATAAGAAAGATGCAAGGTGGCACTTTTGATTTATAATTCTTTATTTATTGGCATCCTGGCTTACAAGATTTTGTTTTAGAGCAGCTTTTTAGTGGCTGGATAGTAAAGAAGCAACGGAAATATGTAAATCACCTTGTGAATTGGTCCACAATGGAGTATGGTTCCTTGTAATAATGATTTTAAGTTATTTATGTCATTCATGTTAACATCAACGTGATAGCACAAAGTTATGTTTTTATGTGTAATTGTACATAATGTTTATCCATTTGATTGGTAAATTGCAGCAGGTGCCCCAAATTGAGTGTTTTTTAGACTAGATCTTACTGATTGTTAGAATGTTATATGTGAACCATGAAACAAAAGCTGTATGTCAGTCAGTGTATCACCAGTTAACATCAGCTGCAGGTGCACCTGGCCATGTTATGGTTGATTTGAAGTTGAGGCACTAGTCAACTAAGGCCGACTTTTCCCAATGCAAACCATCTAGGCAAGCCCTCCACTGACATTCAGCATCTGTCTGATCACATAGGCTGTTGTCTATCTACTGTTTATTACCATCTTTATGAAGCTTAGTTGTATGACTAGCTTGGCTTCCTGCTATGAACTCTTCATTACCAGACAGCCTCCTGAGATGAATTGCACCAAGCAAGGTGGGACTAACTTGATTGGAAATATGCCCTAAGTTTTGAAACCTAGTGCTCACCCTATGTGTGGTCTAACCATATCCTGAGCTGAATGTCAGTTTGTAGGTTTTATCTAGTTTAGTTTTCCTTTATATCATCCAGACTGTGTATTTTTACATGTTTGACATTTGCCAATCCAGCCTCCCCTGGATAGGCTTGAGTCACATGCAATGTTCGGGAAATTCATATGAATATAATCTATCTAAATATCTGAGAAATTATTATTGCCACTGAAAGATTGCCTGGTAAATTGATACTTAACAAAGACTTGAGGTATCTCTTCTGTAAGTTATTTCTGTACAAGCAATCTCTTTATTGTAAAACTAAGCTTATATAGAAAGACAGTACAAGTATCTTCTTCTGGTCTATGATGTGATACAGCATAGAAAGTAGGATGAACATTTCTAGTATCAGTTGGTTCATGCTAGCTGATGTACATTTTTGCCATTTTTGTCAAAGAGTTGTCCAAAATGATCAATTCATGGCACACACTTGGCAATTCGGTTTAAACAAACATGCTAGCATATTATCCCTGTATAGATTATTGCATATTGGAAATGATAAGAAATAAACAGATGAATATAAGAAAACATTATTTTTTTAGCTGGGTGGAACTCCTTTGCACAGAGCTGCAGCTCAAGGCCATGTTGAAGTTGTCACCCTCCTGCTGGAAGAAGGTTGTGCCTATGACAGGCAAGAAGATGTGGTAAGACATTGTTTGTTTATATATCCACCCCTTTTCTTGCAAAGTTTCAGAAATTTTACCAATGTAGCCTTTATTTTCAGAATTTAAGGTCAGGTATGTCGCAGAATCCTCCCTCGTACCACACACATTGGTGAACAGTGACTGCTTTGATAACTTACAGTTGATTTTTGGGGAAATTTGGACTTTGCATGCAAAATATTTTTAGTTTGTCACATCAGTTTTAAGAATTGTGGTGAGCCGTGGAAGCTATGATGTCTTTGTCACAGGACAAGAATTACCAAAAAGATAATGTTTTGCTCTGTCATTATATATTCCAGTGAAAAAGTTATTTGGTTTGTAAAAGCCAGATCAAAGTACAGATAACCTCAGGGGGTGAATAATCAACTTTTTTCCTACTGTTTTGTGTTAAATTCTCCAGAGCAATGATTGTAATTCACCACACATGCAGGCAATTCGATTTGTTTGTTGGTCTCTCCCAATGTCCTGTAGCTCTGGAATGTGTTTTCTATCTGCTACAGGGATGTATTTTTGTTTGGTTTCAGCATGGTAACACAGCTCTTCATGAAGCAGCCTGGAATGGGTTCAGTGACACTATCAAAGCTCTTATCAAAGGAGGTGCTAACATTTTTGCCACAAATAAGGTATGTTATGTCAAAACACACAGAGAGCCATTTCTTTTTTTATGTACAGACACAGATGNGTTATCATGTATTGTGCAATTAAGTTTCAAAAACATTTCAAATACATTTTCAAAGTGTGAACTTGTTACACATTTTACTTACATTGGTATTACCTGTTGAGCATAATTAAAATTTGATGTTGAATTTGCAGTTTAACATAATGTAATTTTGCATCAGAATTGACAGTAGCCTATTTTGTGCATAGTTATTTCCTGATTTTTGTCTGTACATTTGACAGCTTTGCTGCCTTGTTTTCTTTTGTATTAATCAAAAGGTAAGGAGTCACAATGACATTTTGTCAGTGGTGCAGAAAGAATAAACACTAAAACTCTGGTAGTGGCTATTTAACATAGGTGTTTACCTTTCCTTTATCTAGGCAGGATTTGGTCCTCTTCACCTAGCTGCTCAGAATGGTCACAACCAGTCTACTCGGGAACTGCTGTACTCTGGCTGCTCAGCAGACGACAAGAACAATGTAAATACCTCGACAAATTTAGACATTTTTTCTGATACATTGTGCAGGGAAAGTTTTATATGTTTATTTATGCACTTATTATGCGTACACTTTATGGAATTTAGGAAGACGTTTGATCATGCAGTAAAAAATAGATACTGTACAGCTACAGTTCTGACTGTATTTTAGTCAGTTTCATTCAGAGCTTCTAGTTCAGTATGGTGACAAAAATAACAGAAAAAAAGATGAGAAAAACAACGAAGAGCAATTGTGTGTTTACATGTGTTTGACTTTTACCTGAAATAATTGCAACGCAAAGCACCTGGCAGATTTGTTTTATTTTACAGCCCCTCTTTTATACTTGGACGTCAAGTAAATATATAGGTGTTATTTCACACTTGCAAGGAGAAATAGAAGGATTTGTAACATAATACTTTCAAATTGCTGTTCAAAATTTCAAACATGCAAGCAAACTTCTTTCTGGTGAATTAAACCCCCTAAACACAAAGCGTTGGTCTTATGTGGATTCAACCACAACAATAAAATCCTCGTTAGGGGATGATAACTTGAAAGCGTGATTTGACACACTATGTATTATCCTACTTGATATAATAGTGGAAATAATGGCATCAGGTCTCCCACATGCTAAACTGTCTGGGGAATAATGCTGTTTGGCGTGCACCATCAGTAGCTAACTAAGTTGATAAAACTTTTTTTTATTATTTGAGATGTTCTTTTATCTGAATCAAGTCTGTGTGTTGGTCTTTTATTTCTAATGATTAAGGTAATTTTGTCTGGTATTATAGATCTAGGGATTTTTTTTTTTTTTTCATTTTCTATTTTATGATTGAATTGTACATAAAGTGCACTTCTTTTATTGACTTACCAGCATCATGAATATAGTGCATTATTTTCATTATCATTCTCACCTGCATATAGATATGTTAAATACTCTATTATGATCCTCTTAATGTAAAAAACAGACATTTATTTGAACACTTTTTTTTCTTCCTTTTTTAATGTTTGTTGTTAGTTAGTGCAGAATTTTCTCATCAGGATACAAACTGTATCGTGTACTTTATAAGCAAATTAGCACTTGCTTTCTTATTGTTCATTATGATAAACAACATATTATGCCCCCCTCCCCAATTTACCAGTGTGGAATTGTGAGTCATTAAAAGTGTTTTTCACTTCAGTATGGGGATACTTGCCTCCACACTGCTGCCAGATACGGACATGCAGGTGTCACCAGAATAGCCCTCAGTGCCAAATGTAATGCTAATGAACAAAACAAGGTACACAACTCTTTTAAATTTGAAATTTATTTCAAACAGAGACAGCCAGATAATAGTTCTTAGTTGTTCTAAAATGATAGCATAAATGTTACTGCATTATTTTATGTTTCTAGAACAGATTATTCTAATTCAAGATTCTGAAGAAAATTTATGAATAGTGTTGTTTCTTTCAGAATGGTGACACAGCTCTTCACATTGCAGCAGCTTTGAGGAGAAGGAAAATTGCCAAGCTGTTGGTAGAGGCAGGTGTAAACAGCACTATCAAAAATAAGGTAATTATTTTCTGCTAGATTGATGCCGTAAGCTTGTGTATTGCTCAGGTGATCTATATTACCTACCAGCTTCATTTTCATTTAAATATAGGGTTTTCAATAAGGGAAGCAAGTTTTCTATAGATTATTTCTCCTATGAACATATTTAATTCAAAGCAAGTTAGACGAATTCTTGACTTCGTGCTCAGATTTCTGTCTATTATTTATCAGCACAGTTATTTCGTAATCAATATGTTACTCTTTTTTCCACCTCTTTCAGCAAAACGAAACTCCTATAGATGTTGCCCGAAGAAAAGAACACCCTGAGATTATAGTAATCATAACTGCCCCACCCAAAGTAAGTTGGGCACTGCTTTTGCTTCTGATTATGATTGCCAGCAATAAAAAAAATGAGTATTTCATACATTTCTTTCCATTACAGTCTCCATATTTCACCTAATAGATTTACTTTGAATCAAACAAAGAATCTAGAATATATCATCATATGCAATTTAAACAAATCATGTATAATTTTTACTGTGTTTGTTTATAGACCTCACTGTGTCATAGATGCCTTAAATTGAGAGTAAGCTTATCTTGCAGAAACCAAAGCACAAGGCTCATGGCAGTCATCACCCACACCATCACCACTCATCACGCCATCACCATGACAGGTCTGGTGTGTCCTCTCCTGGCGCAGAGGTTATGGTGGATGGACCAGTGAGTGACAAAGAGAAAGAGAAAGAAAAAGGGAAATTTTCTTTTTTCAAAAAGAAAAAAGTCAAGGTATGTTCATTGCACGGTATGCAAGTAATTCATACATTGAAACTTTATTTATTCTATCTTGTTAAATGACTATTTGTAGTATGGATCTTAAAAGAATATTTAAAATACAGGTATAAGCTGTTATTTTATTTCATGTGGTTCTGATGTGCTGTTGAGCCTAAGAGTGTGCTTTATTTGTAATTACAGGAGAAAAGTGGCCATCAGCAGCAACATGTGCGTTTTCAAGATGAGGTGCTAAAACAACAACAGCGGCAACAGGCTGGCCAACGAGCTTTAAGTCCAACACAAGGCCTGTTTGGCCAGTATGTCCCTAAAGCTGGGACAGTTTATTACAAAGATCTGGCAGGCAATATCAAGCAGGTAAGGACTCCACATACATTTTTAATAAGCTGGAAATGATAATGTCCGTAGGGGTGAAATAGTGTGGCTTGTTATCTTATGATATTCAACTTCTGTTTTTTAATTTTGATACATTTTTTTTGTTTTATTCTAAATATGACCTTTATATCATAACAGTCTGAGAGATAAAAATAACAATAGTGAATAGCAGTATGTTTGATATTTTGTTCATAAAAATAAGATAATGGACTTGGAAAAGATTTATCAGCTATGTTATTAAAATAGAAATGTAGTTCTTTTGTCAGTAGCTTGAAGGATAAACTGCTGCCTTATCAGCCAATACTTTTGTCTGTGTACAGTCAGAATTCATTTGTGAATGGGGCATTTATCTAGATAATTTCCATTTCCCATTCCCTGATGAAGTCCGACTGTAAGCAGATGGACTATTGGCTGGTAAAATATCACTTTATTTCTCAATCTATTAACAAAAGTACTTTCACATCTGTATAAGGTTATGGAGGTATTCAGTGTTTCTGACTCATTCCAGGGTCCCATAGGTTATGCCCCAACCTGCACCCAGTGTGTACCAATGATAAAGAAACTAGGAGATAAAGTGGAAGTTGATAAGCAGAATCTTTATGACCACATTGATTCCACACAAAAGACATTAACAGACAGGATAGATAATCTGGAGAAAAAGACTGCTCTACAAGTTCATAGTTTAGATAAATTCACCAGGGAAAGACTAGAGGCAGAAAAATTAGAATGTCAAAAAAGACTGGAGAACAGAGTGGTTCAGGAAAGATTAGAAATTGACAATGAACTTGATGAACAGCAAGACATTATAGCCGAGGAACTAAAGACTTGGATGGCTTCACGTTTAGGACCAGGTGGTAGATTCCATGACGACACTGACCTTCCTGTTAGGGGGAGGGTCAACAGAACATTCCATGACCAACATCTTCCAAATGGGTTCATTCCAGGCCCAGGGCCTTTGGTGAGGTCCAGGTCTGATGAAACCTTATCTCAGTCTGAATATGGAAAACATAAGCGTAATCTTGATAAGTACAAACACAAACTTTTCCAAGAACTTCGAGCTTTGAAAAATCCTCTGACAGTCCGTGACAGACCGAGTAGGAGGGACCAACATGGAGCAAGTCAAAGCTTGGGGAATCTTAGAGCTGGTTCACCACAAAGGCAGCTAGGAATGGCCAATTCCCCCACACCTCAGCAGGTGCAAAGCTTCCAGAACATTCGTCATCCTTCCAGAAGTATGTCTCCACCTCAGCATTCCAATCAGTCTCGAAGTTTGTCTCCATTACAGCTGCCTCATCATCGCACTCAGCAGCATAATCAACAGCAAAGGGCCATGTCTCCACCATATAAACTTAGTGATGGTCAGTTCCCAAGGCCAAGTTCAATGCCTTACCATGACAATCTTGCAGCACCGACCCAGATTATGAGCCAGTATAAAACCACTGGGCAACAAAGACCTGGATCAGTTCCCCTTCAGGGACCACCCCCACCTCACCCTAAACCAGGAGTACCTGGCCCCCAACCGACTCATCCTAGGCCCTTGTCTACACCTGTATGGGGTGATGGTAGGGACACCAGGTCTTCACAGCAGTTACATACTGTGAAACAAGAAAACGCAGGACAGTCAGCCACAGTGCAGGAAGACTCATCTTTTGAGAAAGAAATTCAATTTCCTTCCAGAGGACAGAGGTCATATTCCCAATCCCCAACACGAAATGTAATATCTTCAAATGTCACTCAAAACCCAGGAAGAAACATGGGTCAGAATGTACACAGACCAATGCAGCAGCAGCAGCAACAACAACATCAGCAGCAGCAGTTGCCATCACAGCTTCCCCCATCTCAGCTTAATCGTAATCCAGAACAAAAACCCCAACAAGCATCTTATACAGGTCAACAGGCACCTAAGCCAAATAAACAAGATAATAAACATTTTTACCAGCCACCTCAACCCATAACCAGGAAACCTGTTTATCCCCAAGTTCTTCCTAACCAACTAGACCAACCAAACTATCAACAAAATCAACAGCTAGGTAACTCACTGATTCATCAACAACACATTCAGATGGGACACAAACAACAGCCATCCAAACCTGGTAACCTAGTATATGATCAAATACCTCAACAGCCACATCTGCAAGTGTCTCAACAACCACATCACCCAGCTGGACATCAGCAGTCACAGCCTATAAAACAATTGCAGGATTCAAAACCACCTCAACAAACACAGAGCATGCCCTATAAACTGGGGCATCAACCACAACACCAGCAGGTACACCAACCACCACCACACCAAACTGTACATCAGCCACCAACCCGCCAACAACTTTATCAACATATACCTCAACTGCCATCACACCAACAAAGATATCAACATCAGCTACCTGATGAGAAAGCATCTCAGCATCCAACCCAGTATTCACATGCATCAGGGCAACAGCAAAGACATCCACCTACACACCAAACATTTTATCAACCACCACCACAACAACAAACTCATCCACCCACACAACAGCAGGTACATCAGCCAACATACAAACCAACACCTCTTCCCCGACCATCACAGAGACTCTCACAGCCGCCTTTGCCCAGCACCCAACCAGTTGCTGGTCAACAAAACGTGGCTCATGATCAGCATAGGCCTGGTGCCCAGTCACTACAGAATAGACACCCACAGGGTCCAATTACTGCTGGCAGAAGTACTCCACACTTACCAGAAGACTTCATGTCCAGGTCTCGTCGCAATCCCATTAATGAAAGTTTACTCAAAGAGTTTGAGGAGTTTGAAACTGGAAAGGACCCTCGTCTTCCAAGACCTGTACAGCGGAATATGTACCCAAATAAATCTACCTTACACCTGAATGGAGATAACAAGGGTAGGCAGTTAATGGAAAGTCCTTCAGTATTGAGCAAATCTGAGCCAAACATTGATCAGAAAAGCCAACCACCATCTGGGAGTGGGGATTCTCATGTGAATGGCAGGGTGGTCCTCACAAGGGAAGTTCTTCGCAGGCAATCTCCAGGTCCTGTTCCAGCCAACCCATCGATACCCCCAACTGCTTATGGACCAAATGGACATCAACAGAACCCAGTTACTTTAAATCATGTGTCAGATTTGACTGCATTGCAAACTGTATACTCCCCAAGCAATATTAGCCCAACAACTGTTCTCAATAAATCTCACGAAGAAGGGAGCAACCCAGATTCTGGGTACAGTAGTCGTATATATCCCAACCACTCATCTTTGTACTATAGTCGCCCTGGCTTGAGTCCCCTGGCTCACGGGGTAAGTGTCACTACCCCACCATTATCTGGTTCCTCGATAACAGAACGTAGTCCACAGAGTTCCCCTGCTACACAAACCTCCACAGGGACATCAGAGGGGGATCCAACCCACCTTCCAATGCCACGACACTTTTTCAATGCCCCACAAAACCCACAGGAGAGGTGGTTTGAAAGGAGTGACAAAGAAGAGACAAAAATGAAGGAGGACAAAGAGTTCATGGAACAGAGATTTCGATCTTTAGAAGAGAGATCTGTCAGTTTAGGAAGTGATGTTTAAAATGATGTGATATTTCTTTCAATTAACACTTATCCTGGCACACGTTTTCTACTTATTGACTCTAAAGTTGTCCTGTAATGTTATCAGTAGTACAATACCGTCCTGGTTCCAGGTTTAGTGGAACTAAAATAACATCTCAAGACTGTATATGTTGCTAATGTTATATTATATTATAGGTGCCTGGATTTTTACCAAATTGAATACAGATTTTGCTTTTAATGAAAAGTCATACCTGTACAAGTGAATTCTGTTAGATCTGATCCGTCTCCGATCTGTTCCACTTTGATCTTAACAATTTATAGCCATTAAAAACTAGTAAAACTGTTTATGTTAGTTCATTTCTTTATTTTACTGTATTAAAAATGTCATTGTTATAATTTTTCCCAATATTTGCAACAAATTGAACAGCATGTTGGTAGTTTACATGGTTAAATGTTGGGCGTCTTACAGTTAGTTAATTATTTCAAAGTTGAGCTTCATTATTTTCACATTATATAATGCAGAATCTATGCAAAATAAGTGCATTTAATGCGTGTTTATTATACTTAATGCTTTTATAATTATGTATTATGTACATTTATGTATATAGTGTTGTTTATATACAAAATGTTAATTTATTCCGTGCAGCAATAAAGTATTTTCTTAAAGACACCAGGAAGTTTTTCCTATTCTTAAACTTGGTTCAGGTTCCTTGTTGGTTCCTTGAATGTTTGTCACGTTCAACATAAAAGATTACATGTGTTCAAATTGTTGATTTTATTTTTTCTTGAAAATGAAATTTTTCACAGATTTTGGGAATATAGGACATTACTGATATTTTCTTGATTTGTTCGTGTCTGGTTAAACTGACTTGCAAGTCAGATGAAAAGTATTTACAAAAAAAAAAAAAAATGCAGTTTACATCAAGGAGAAAAACAAAGAACATCTCTAATGACATCTTTTTACAATTAATTTTAATTACAATTATGTTTTTGGACCCACACAGAACCCCCAATAATTAAATGAAAGTGTACGTGCATAAAATATGCTGAGACAACTCCCCTCTTTGTACGCCTAAAGTTGGGTGCAGTCTGCAGTTAAAAGGCAAAGAATGAGGCTTGACCATTTTGGTCTTTGTAAATAATGTCCTGCCAAGTTGTAGGTAGGAAAATATCAGCATGTAAATATAATTCAAATCGACTTAGAAGAGACCAATTACGTTGGTACTTTGCATAAGCCAGCTCAAACAAGTTTTTCTACAAAAAAAGACAGATCACACATATGAAACTGAAAACTTGTGCAAGTGTTGAGCAAATTTCTAGTCTTTCATGATCATCATAAAGAAAAAAACAATACCTTAGATCTGATAATTATGACGTAGAACCTGTTTCAACAATGTACATTAAATAATAATAATACATTATAAATAAATACATCTCCCATCAGTAATCTACACTTTTAAAACTTAGCTGCCTGGGATACCACTGCTGCAAAATTGTATGTCAAAGTATTTGTCTATTTTACCATTCCACTGAAGAATCATGCATCTAAATATAAACATATAATTGTGGAACCTATAAAGTCTTTGTTTGCATTCATTCTCCACTAAGTGAATACTGTTACATCATAATATTTTCTTTCAAATTCTTTTCCTTTAGAATATGGGCCAGTAACTCACTATGCAGAATATTCATACTCTGCACATGTGGACCCACACAGCATTTTCAGATTTTATCTCAACAATTATCAAAGTTTTTCTATGAGAATAGCTGATGCTCCTCCTCCTCCATTACAAATTCCAGCTAGTCCTTTTTCTCCTGCTTTGAGATTGTGAACCAAATGACCTGTTATCCTTGCACCAGACATGCTGAAAAAGAAAGGCTTCAGTTATTATTTTCTTCTTTATTGCAGTGGAGAGGAAAGTAATTATCATCTTTTCACAAATTCTACTTTGTGCTTACTGTGTATAGTTAAAAGTGTAAATAAGTGGAGAGAAAATCCTTATCAGTGCAAACTTTGATAAAACAAATAAATAAAAATAGTGTAGAATTAACATACATTGGAACAGGAAAAAAGAAAGGTCACATTTACAGAAAGCTATCATGTTATGCCCAATTCAAATTAAAATGTGCAATTTGGAATAGGCTTCTTTGTGCAACCTCTATGTTGCTTCACTATTGTATTTTTGCAGACCTGGGTCCTCTTTCACAAAGTAACATTATCTCAAAAACAGGTTTAAACTTTAAACAAATTTGAGACTGCTACAACCAAAGATAAACCAGAAGTAGTCCAATTAAATGAAAAAAAGGTACTTCTGTTGTATAAGACCAATGCTAAATTTCATAAGTGGACCACTATAGACCTAAATACCAACTGCACTGTGTGTGAAACTGCCCCCTGTCTTCTGTAAGACTGAAATGAAGTACTATTGGTTAGCATACTTCAAAAACATCAACCAAAAATCTTACCCAATTGGATGCCCTATGCTGACAGCTCCCCCATGAATATTTACTTTGCTCGGGTCCAAATCTAAAAGCTTGATGTTGGCAAGTGCTACTACGCTAAAGGCTTCATTTATTTCAAACATGGCAATGTCTTCTTTTGTGACAGATGTCATTGACAAAACCTGAAATTAGTCATAGTTATAGTGTACAGAATAAATTCATAGCAAATGTAATGTTTTAATAATACAACACTTTATATCCAGTGGATTAAAAAAATGCCCCATATTTGGAAATTTTTAATTTTTGAAAAACTGTCTCATCCAATAAAACTGCATGAGTACATTAGTGTTGAAACAATAGCTTTTTGAACACGTGTGGCCACAGGCACATGGGGTTTAGTAAAAAAAAAATGTTGCTCCAAATACCCAATGGCCTACTCCTAGCAGACTATTACAGCCTATATATCCATTCCACAATCACATTTTCAGTCAGTATGTGTCAACATCTCTTATATTGTAGGGACCATTCCCATAGATATTTGAATCGATTAATCTCCCTGGGGAGTCTCACTAAATTGCTATCAACCTAACCAGCTTAAATGTCTGTCACACCTAGTAAAGCTGTTAGGGGGTAATTATCTTTACTCCCTAGCTGATTCAGTAGGCGTGACAGACATTTAAGCTTGTTAGTTGATAGCAATTTAGTAAGACTCCCCAGGGAGTTAGACAGATCCAGATGGATAAATCTAGGCATGGGAACCCAGTCATAGAGTCACATTCTGAATAGGTTGTGTCTAAATGCATAAAGAACATTGAAATGATTTACTATGTTTGTACATAATCTAAAGACATGGCAATGAGGCTTTTCTCACTAGCCTGTTTGTAGAGCAATGTCAAACAATAAGGAATTTACCTTTTGCATCGCAGAAACTGGAGCAATAGTAAAATCTATTGGAGCAGTAGCAGCATCTGCAAAGCCTGAAAAGTAAACATCAACTGTTCAGTAAAAACCAAATCCAGCTGTTGTAAAGTAAAAGAATGTCCACAGCATAGAAACAGAAAATAACCAATGGACAAAGCAGAAAAATTACAGAACAAGGATTGTCACTTTTCTGAGCAAGTCCATTCCCTGTGGATAACAACCCAAAGGAGAAGAAAGGATGCATTAGCACAGGACACCAACATTAAAGACAGTCAATGTTCCTTGAAAGGAGTTTCATTGCGAATGGCCAAATAAGTTCATGGAAAGAAAATAACTTTTTTGACCTTTTTACAATGGCCCACCTCACTGCAAACATAGACTGTTTTCTGTATTTTTCTCACCTGATTAACTACAATTTCCTTTCTACCTCCCAAAAATTTCCAGAAAAATTAATTTTTTGCTATTTAAAGGGCTAATGCACATTGTTTGTTAACCGTTTACTAAAAGCTAAGGATCGATGCGTAGTTGTTATGAACCACACTGACTATATATGGCAAAGTGTCATGTCCAGCCAAAGTCCTCACTAGGAGGATACAAAATTGCCATAGTTATCATCTGATGATGGACATTGTAAGACCTGAAATAGATTAAAAAATTGTGTACAAATTTCCTTAATTTCTATTTATCCATCAATTCCACATTCATCTTTAATCTTTGGGAAAAAAATCACGCAAAAGTGTTGAAACATGTTACTAACATGCTGAGAATCATAAGTAAAAGAATAAAGAAAGGAAATTATGTATACCAATAATTCTTGCTAGTGGTGTGACATTCAATTTTGCTGCTGCTTTTTCTGTCATTAAAAGAAGCGCTGCTGCTCCGTCATTGAGTGTGCTGGCATTAGCTGCAGTAACAGTGCCTGAAAAGACCAACACTTTAACCAAATGTATATTTTAATGATATGAAGTCATCAAATTCAAATTTTTTGTACTAATTTCATGTTATGATTTCAATTAGTTTGTTATATGAATTTTTGCATGAAAAGTGATTATACTTACCATCTTTCTGAAATGCAGTTCTTAGCGTTTTGAATTTTTCGAAGTTCACTTTCATATATTCTTCATCTTCTGTAACCACTATATCATCTCCTATGGAAAAAAATTACCAACATTAATATAAAAACAAAAACATCCCTTTCTCAAACAGAAGAACAAAGGAAAAAGGTAGCATTTCACCTACAGCAACCTTAAAAACACATTCCACATTGAAAGACTGCTGCAGTATGGGCCCAAATTGTTCCACCAACTCGCCTTTGGTAAACCAGAGTCTACAGACTTACTGACTCAAAGCAAAAACAGTGGCCAGTAATTGATAAAATTTACAAAATTTCACTGGCCCTTCTTTAATTCCTTTGGCATTTGGTGTGGGGCCTCTGCCTGATAAACTCCATGTTTATGCACATTAAAGATAATGTCTACCTTTTTTCTGAGGAATTGTGACTGGCACAATTTCCTTCTTGTAAACACCACTTTCTGCAGCTCTCTGACTCCTGGTATAACTCTCAACAGCAAAGGCATCTTGCTCCTCTCTTGTTATCCCTTGGACTTTGGCAGTATTCTCTGCACAGCTGCCCTGTATAATAACCACCGCTTATGAATTAAAAAAATTGAAGTGTTTTGGGAGAAAAACTTACAAAAATAATAATACACTTAAAGTTCTATCTTGTTTTCTTCTTGCTCTAAAATCCTGATAATCTTAGGGCTTGAAATTTCAATCACCTTTTAGTGTATAAAACTAAGAAATTCAATGAAAACACAGATTTCACTCTATAACATACCATATGAATCTGATTGTAGACATCCCAAAGACCATCAAGCACTATGCCATCCTAAAAAATTAAAAAATTAATCACAATGTATTACATATCTATGGCAGTTCCAGTCAAAACAAAAAAAAATCCATTACATTTTCTTCTAGTTCCAAAATCCTGATAATCTAATTAATGGACTGAAAACTCAATATAAGGTTAACTCTAAAACTAAAATAATTTATATAATGTTGATCTCTTCTTACATAAATGTTTGCTATTGTGCTTACAGTAAGTGTCACTCCCCCATATGGTGTCTCCCCTCTTTTCAGATAGTATGGGACATTAGACATACTTTCCATTCCACCAGCAACCATTACATCCTGGATGGTTAAATTTAGAAGTTGTATTTATATTTTGTGAGATAAAAGTTGCATTTTCAGTATAATTTTCAACTGCAGCACAGTGTGTTCATACTTAAACAATATAAAGGAAGCAAAGCTGGAGATTAAACAGAGCAGTACTAAAACCCACCAATCTACCAGTACTAGTAAATTACTGACCAGACAATCTTCATCTCTGTTCCCATCAAACCAGATATATCTAGCATGTTCAAAACTGGTCTTCAAACCTCCTCTTACCTGTGATCCACACATTAGTGACTGTGCTGCCATCATGACAGCTTTCATACCAGATGCACACACCTTGTTCACTGTACAGCAAGGTACTGTATTAGGAATGCCTAGCAACAAAATAAATAAATAAATGCAACACCTTACCTGATGAAAATCTTATCTTTCTGTAAAATGATTTAGCTTCTAGTAAATTTTCAGACAGAAATAGTATAAATGGCCATCTTGTTTCTAATTTTATTTTATTTTCATTTACTTTAAAATTTTCAACAAGTACCAAGTAAATGATGACCAATATAAACCTAGAACATTAAAAAAATTCAATCTGACCAAAAAAATTTAAGGGAGGAGACAGAACTTAGTGGCCAATGTATTTAATATCTCTTTACCTGCTCCCAAAGCTGCTTGTCTGGCAGGTGCCTGTCCATTGGAAGCCTGACACACATTGCCCATATACACCTCCTGCACTGCATCTGGTGCTACTCCTAGAAAACAACAATACTCAAACCTTCTTATACTGATAAATCAAATTGTTATTGGCAGGATGGGAAAATAGGTGTCTAAGCTTCCATATATTTCAATAATGCTTTGGAAGTCAATGTTGTTCCAGAATGAATGCCTACCACTACACCTTATGTGAGAACAGGGTGTCCGTTAGCCTTATTTCTGTACATCCCTAGCCCAATTCAATTTGAGACCTCTATTTTTTAATTCTGGGGTAGCGCCAGCAACTTTTTTCACTTAGCCAAATCACCACATTTTTGTCAATTTGTTATCAAAATGGTTATAATTTGGCTAAAACATGTCAAATCAAGCCCTTTTCTTTAGCCAATTTAAGTCAGTTTTAGCATTTGGCTAAATTGGTGAGTGTTAGTGCTACCCCAGTAATTCTATCTGTATACATGACACACTTCAACATAAAACTCAATATATATATACTACTCTATTCCTATATGAGTACAACTATGTACTTGGAACCTATATCACATTAAGCAAAGACACCCTTACCAATATGCTGCTTTCAAAGATGCATATAACATGCAGTAGTGATTTGTTCTCTCTCTCTCTCTCTCTCTCTCTCTCTCTCTCTCTCTCTCTTAAGTTCAACAGCACAGCATATACTTTTTTTATCATGTTCAGAAATATCTTTAAAAAAACTGCCACCCATTAAACAATTAACTTCTTGAAAATGCAGCATATTGGTTAATATTTAGTTATGAAGTTACTCACCTGCCTTGTGCAGAGCCCCCTGAATAGCCACACTGCCCAGCTTGGTTGCTGGAACAGCTGCAAGACTACTACGAAATGACCCAATAGGAGTCCTGGCAGCATTCACAATCACAACTTCCTATAAAATAATCCTAATATTGTTGTAAAATTATCTTTTTTATGTCTTTTATTTATTCATTTCAATCAAGCTTGATGTCTACTCACCTTTCAAGAAACTGACATAAAAATTAAGCCGCATTTTCAAATGTGAACACAAGCACGATAGACAAACAAGGATCATTAAAGCTCTCAAATTTTGCACACAGGTGCAGTATCATATAAAGAATTCATGTGCTAAATCTTAATTCAAACTTATGTGTAAATTTAGAAATAGAATGCTTCAGATTTGGTGCAAAACATGAAGTTAATGCCTACAAGATCTCAATGAAATCTGGAAGGGCATTGTAACATCATCCAAATGCATTTGAGAAGCTACTAAATGACTTTCCAATGAGCACTTCAAAGCCTAAGTACAATCAAAACTTTAACTGCTCTCTTAGATATGTGATCGCGAATTCTAAGTGTGAACAGTTTTCTTTAGGTCGACGTGTACTTTGTACTGGAACATTGCAAGCATTGTTATACATGCATGGAGCATAAATAAACAGTTAAATATCGCATTTGATACTTTGTATCAGATGAGTCTAATATTCTTTTAACCATATTTATAAGTACATTGCTACTGTCAACTTAAATCTGAATATTCTAGAAATAAAACAACATATTCTCTCTTTTCCTGTTCAGACTTACTAGTGTCATGTCATTTAAATGAGTAAATCCACTTACATTTAAACCTGTTAACTGAGACAAATGTCTGGAAACATTCTGAACCTTCACCTGAAAGTAATAACATCTTTTGGGTCAAATAGATATCAAATGCAAAGTTATACATGTGCATCAAGACCAAAACAAAGAAGTTACAAATATAATATGTCACATTTATTGTTTGAAATAACTAATTTATGCCAGAAATCAGTTTATGTTAGCTGCTATATATATTGAATTGGAGTATATACAGTAGCTACAGGAGTTATGAGTTGACCGTGCCTGTATACTTCTTTTGTTTTTACATGTATATATATATATATCTAAAGAAGCTGAAAATAAACTGATAATAACTATGGCATAAGGTGGGTAATACAAAAAAAATGCAGTTGATTTTATGGTCGATTCCGATAATTCAATACTTGATACAAGTTGGTTTCCTGTAAATAGCTTGAGTGCAGAAATTAAAACAGTTAAGGTCAAGAAGTGGATATTTTTATAGACTTTTCCCTTGCCTTAACCTTACCTAGAATGTAAGGAAAAAAATTATTTAAAAAAACGAGGAAAGGTTCAGACAATACTACATATTTTTAGCAGCCAGTAAAGTTTTGTTTCCCATTCACGTGTATAGTGCTAGCTTATGTGAAGCCGATGTAACATAACCACGAAAGTGTAGCACAGAAATTCAAGCGTTAGCACTGCAATTAAAGTTTTTCAGTACGTTATATATATAAGCATCTTAACACATGTAATAAACATTAAAAAACGTAAACTGGAGTTTCGAACGAAATTAGTTTGGACTGATATTTACTAGAACATATTAACTGAAAATTCGCTTCAATCTACTGCCACGGGTCAATAATGCATAAAAATTATAGCCGTGAGTAAACTGTAATAAATGCAAGCAACCCCGCTTCATTACCTTGTCTTTAAAAAGCTGACAACTTTTTAACAACTTGGACATCGTGGATACATATACCCTGAATCAGATTTTGATCAATAGGAGTCGCTAAACACGCAAGATGAGCTTTCGGCTTTTATGTCAATGTCCGTAACGATTCATATGAAGTCCCATTTTAGCCACAAAAACCAACCAAATGCCTGGCCAGCAGATAGTTTCAAATAGCATAACTAAGAGAATTACCAAAAGATATTGCACTTAACCCGAAAATGATATTTGAATGGAATTTTTCTACTAGCTTTTTATGCTGTATATACAGCACACGAACGAAACGCAGTGCCTCGATATGAAACCAGACAACTTTTGTGTTTTTAATCTCCAAATACGAAAAAAAAATCAATTAAGCTAATAAATAGGCTAACGTTAAGAACGTATTATATCGTTTGTTTTATATTAATTATTATTTAAGATCATAATAATAAACAAGTCGCATTTCGATG